CAGAGATGAGTGTCGGGCGCCGCGGCGCGGGTGCGACAGAGGGCGCGCGTCTCGGCAGATAATGCGACCCCGACCTGCCCCGGCTAGATGATTGCACGTTGTTTACTGTCTATGCTCTAAATGATCGCTTCTATTAAAAGATTTTAACTCATATTGGTTAGCGGCAAGCACATGTCGGGTGTCGGCGCTGGTACAGACCTACTACTGGAGGAAAAAATTTTTGGCGTAAATTTTTATAAAAAAAAACTGTTGTAAAGTAAAACTGTAGGAGCCTCAGATAGGTCTGCTTTAGTGCAGTTCAAAGTTTGAGTATTTAACAATAGAAGAGAGATGCATATAAAGCTTGATTTCCAAAATCTTTGAATACGCCACACTGCTAAGTACATTTGTTTTAAAGCGATAGATCATTTACACTTTAATACAGTATCGGCGTAACCTTCTAAAGATAAACTACCCGTTAAAAACATTATCAGCAACTGAACAGATAACTGCGCTCGCAACACAACTAACAATGACAAAGAAACAAAGCGGGGGAAGGCGACAATCAATTAGTCATCCGGTCAGTCGGCGAGTGTACAAAACATTCTCTTTATGGCCGAAGCTTCTGAACATCAGCTGTGTGGTATGACTCCTCGTTTGCAATCCGCACGACTTCATATCCGTTGCATTTCCGATAACGCGTGAGTCAGTGTCGACGCAGCGGCTTGTTGCTTGCTGGTCGCACATCGATCACTGAGTAGGCCGTACGCAATGTCAGCAATTTTTTTGCAGACATCCAACAAACTACCGATGACTAGCATATAGCCTAACCATCACTTCGCCAGTCTTATTATAACCGCATTGGTACGAGGTCGCCTCGATTGTGAGGTCGGGACGCACCGCGAAAAAGTCGCGTGTCTCATTAGAATAACAACAACAAAACTCGAAAGTGTGGTCTTAAATGAACTTTGTTATTATATAGTAATGCCTCTTAAGTGTTTATTAGCTCCTTAGTGTTTGTTTAATATCGATTGTAAATGTTTAACTTAATCTTTCACTTGTACGTAATTAATCAAGCAGTATCGATTATCAGGTGCGTTATCGTATGAGGAATCGTACATTTCGGCCAGTAGTTGATAANAGTTTGGAGTGGTGACACTCTGTGAGGCGTGTTGTGAGGAAGATGCCGGTGTACCCGTGCGATATGGCGACCTCACACGACTTCTGCGAGATGGAGTACACGCCGGAATACATGCTGGCCGGCCCGCCGCACATGTGGGACAAACCCCCTTATAGCCCGTACGGCATGTTTAACAGAACCTCAACAGAAGAGTCCCAGCGTTTAACTACCTTAGACTGTGTTTTTAATGAAGGTTTGTTTAGATAAATATTATAGATTTTTAAACCATTACAAACTTACATCCTACTCAAACATGCAATTAATGCGTAAGTTTGAATGGATAGATGCATGTTTGTTATAAGGTATCTCCAGAATGGCAGCATGGATCATGATAAAATTTGCTACAAATGTAAAACAGTTTCTGGAAGAGCAGATGGGCTAGATATTTTTTTTAAAAATTCCGCACTGATGAAGTCATGGGAAAAGGCTAGTAGAATACAAAATTTTTTATCCTTTACTTTGAACAGGACGGCATTTTTATCTGAAAATTTTTTCTTATGACAGCTTATTGGTTTCGTCCTGTTTATCTCGATAAATATCATACAATTATGACTCATGGCGAATTTTCTTTAACGCCCAGACAAATATTCGTTCGTGACCCTAAAACCCATATTAATACTGAAAAGAGGAACTGGATTAACTAAATCTAAGGAAAACGTTAAAATGGTAATAAATAACATGAGTGATGCAGCAATAGTGTTAAGACTTGTTTTTATGTTTAACCTGTAAATACCATTCGCACCAACCAGTTTTTTTTGCTTTACTAATATGAATCTAAGCAATTATACAGCCAATATAAGCACGGGGAAAACCGAGCGTTATAGGGCTGTCAGATGTACTTATAAACAAAACTGTACTATTTTTACAATTTACAGATACTGTTATAATATGTATATAGAAGTATGCTACAGGGCTGACATGTACGAGCTCTTTCAAGCAGTCTACTACAAACTAGAATCCGTCCCCTGCATAGCTAACGTCAGTTATTGCTTTCGTACCGTGCTCGAAGTAATCCGTATATGCTCATACTTTAGGAATATTTAACAGGCGACAGCTCGGGTCAGATGTACGTAATATAAAATTTAAATGTGTGCCTGTCAGCCGGTGACAATAAGTAGCTATGAAGTAATAAACTGGTCGTATTGTGTTTATGTTAATAAACGTATATTTTTACCTAAACACGTTTTTGAAATAAAGGTAACATGCAAATGTGAAAATAAACTTGTAGTCGATGACGTTCCATAGATTTTATATTTGTATTTCGCTACATCGTTGATCTTATGTTGTTACAGACAGCGACATGCAGCTAGAAACAAGCAGCAGTGAGGCGAGCGCCGCAAGTTCTACTACACTGTCACAGCACTGCGCGATCTGCGGCGACCGTGCGACCGGCAAGCACTACGGGGCTTCCTCCTGCGATGGCTGTAAAGGCTTCTTCAGGAGGAGCGTTAGAAAGAACCATCTCTATACTTGCAGGTTAGTGTTGTGTAGATCCGGCTCGAAGGACCACAGGACAATAGTTTGGGTAACTGTCAGTTTTGACTTTAGTGACGCTGATTTTCATCTTAGAGCAATTTTCTCCATTTTAAATGAAAATTGAAAATTGATATTGATGTTAGCAACATAAAAAATCGTCCATTTAATTTTCAAATATCTTATCTTCCATTCAGGACGTGAATGCTATAGGATGTATCGATGGACACGTGTTCACATTGTCCTGCGTAAAAACTGCTCAGATAAAGTGCAAATGTTCATTGTTCCAACGACACTTTGTAATCAATTATAATTTACAATTGATGCAAACGTATAGCAATGTTCTTCGTTTCTTCTTCAATAGTAAGTAGGATGACTGGATGTTTGTTAGCTACTTTTAACACGCCTGAACGAATCTGGATGAAATTTGGCACAATGATTACTGTCTGAAATGGCGCATAGGCTACTTACTAAGTTTTTCTTTCCGCCCTATCAAAATCGCGGGCGAAAGCTAGTCTTACTAATGTGTTAAATGCGAAAGTTTAGATGGGCGGATGCATGTTTTTAGAGGTTGTAGCCTAAACTGCTTCACAGATCTCGATGAAATTTAGCATAAATGTAGAGAATAATCTGAATGATTACATATGCTACTTGCTTTTTTCACGCGAACGGAGTCGCATGAGAAATCTAGTATACAATAATTATCTACTACACAGTTTTTTACATTATCTATACTAATAATCTATTGCAGTAAATTAGTGTATCGTCATTCATTTAGATTCAGTGCAAGCAATGTTCTATTTCTACGAAGAGTTTAGATAGAATAATCATTCATCATTGAATGTTAAGAACGGGCGCACACATTTGACTAAACTATCGCACACTGTTGTGCGATTGTCGATTGTTTTGCAGCCAATTCAACTGTTTAGTTGCACGACTAAAAATCTAGTAGTGTGCGCACCTCCATAAGCTAAGAGAAATAAAAGCGTGACTAAACAGTTGTGCGATAGTTTAGTCAAATGTTTGCGCGCGCTCTTATTATGGCAATGATTAGACTGGACTTTACATAGATGTAGAAAGAGAATAGAGACTTTGATAAAATTAAAATGTTTCACAAAATTATTGTCTTTGTTTAGACTTGATTCCAAAGTTGGAAGCTTAATAGACAGACACTGAATAGTCTAAAATAATCTTGATATAGGTAATAACTAACTTAGTATTTCTCTTGTTCCAGATTTAGTCGAAATTGTGTTGTTAATAAGGACAAAAGAAATCAATGCAGATATTGTAGGCTAAGGAAATGTTTTAAAGCTGGCATGAAAAAAGAAGGTAAGCATTTACAAAATACATATCAGTACAGACCCAAAATATTTCACAGTTTTATTATATCTAGGTGTTAAACTCGAAAAAATGATATTGAATTGTGAATGATATGAAGTGAATGACAGAGAGGTAGACCTAGAAAGAGATGGATTGCGTGAAAGGTGACATGATCAAGAAGGAAGTGATGACTGAGATAACGGATGATAGACCCTACGGGAGTAGGATAAGGCAGGGGAGATGATGATTGCGTGAATGACATGCATAGTGTACAATATCGGTCAGACATGTAATCCATTCAGTTTTATCATTCAGTTCTGATATGTGGAATGGAATATCATTCAATTCAATCATATTTAGAAATCCAAAAATGTTACCTAATTTGCCTTAATAACTGTGATTTAAACAAAACTGTTTATCTTGTTATTATCGTTATCATCTTCCTGGTGATATGACGACACTGTTACATAGTTATCTAGATAATTTAACATTGAAATAATAGTTTGACGTTGATATCCTACTATGTTACTAATACTATAAATAAGAATGTTTGGATGGATGGATTTTTGTCAGAACGTATCCTCCAGAACGGCTTCATGCAACAGATGAAATTTGGTATAGATGTAGAAAACTTACTTAAAAGGTTTTTTTTTATTCCATGCACGAAGTTGCCTGAAAAACTCTTTAAAATGCATAACAGAATTAAGCTTTTATTATCTCTTTTTGTTCAAATGTTTCGACACTGGTAACACTAAACATTATTCTGCAAAACGTCATTAATTTGATTGATAGGAGATTGATTATGTAAATAATATGTTATTACCGGCGGCGGTAATACGCATCGGAAAAGTACCTAACAGTAACACTGACTAGTTTTTGTGCTAATTACTGCTTTGATAAAACTCGATAGATCAACATGTTTATGTCGTGAACTATAATAATAAGCTTTGACTGATATTTATGTGTGTAACGGACAAATGTTTTCATTTGTATGTAATCTATGTATGTAGACATGACTCCCTACTCATTTGCTAACTTACGACCCAATACTGAAACGATATTTGACAGCATCTTATTTGATAAACCCACGATTAATCTTAAAAGTCCATTAAATTTTTGTCGTCTAATAGATTGTAAACGGTGCTTATGAAGCGAAGTGTTTAAGTTTCGTTTCAGTATTTAGTCGTTAGTAAAGTATAAGCATACATCTCAGACAAGATGTGTTACAAATTCATTACCAGCGTTAGGGTATTGTCCAGTAGGGCAACCACCTAGGGTGCCGGACAGAAAGGAGCGCCATAGATCTGCTAATTACACACTCTCACGTGAACTTGTGGTAAAAAGTAAGAGGCGCCGTAGTAATCGCGTCCAAGACACTAAAACTGGCAAACCTAACAAATATTTCAGTTGGTGTTTTTCCGTCTCTTGATAGATATAACAATACCATGTTTGTCCAAAAGATTATATTAAAAATAAATTTCAATCGATAACAAATATTGAAATAAGCACAAAGTCACTGAGTACCGTGTTCGCAAATATGGAAGAAACTGATTAGATTCGTAAAATGGGAAAACAAATGCGTATAATGGGTTGAAAACTCTTTGTTGTATAATACAAACATATGAATGAATTGGTTAGTTCATACATTGTTATTATGAATCAGAAATGAGTTGTTTAAAATGAAATGATTCAACTTTGTACTCACTATATTTGGAATTAATTAATAATAGTTTATCTCTAATACCCACTATATTAAATTTTAAGCTTAATTCATTTAATTCCGAGATTTAAATCCTATTTTCGACAAAACAAGCTATTGTGAGGAAAGAACATAAAGTTATTGCGTTAATAGGAATTTGAGACTGTTTCCCTATATCCGCAAAGGATGATTGTTGCAAAATTATTTACTATATTGTCCCTATATGACGGTAAAACTGTATAAATATAATTTTGTAAGAATACTGGTCGCAAAGAAAATTATTTTTTATGATAAAAAAAAATTAAATGAAATGTTTTTTTAGCGCTATGTAGCAAACCAATGTATCTTATTTTAGATTACTAAGATAAAATTATATATTTGTACACGAGGTTTTTATCACATTTTTATCAACAAGATAACATTTTAGTTACACCATACACATGTAATAATACAATACTATGTGTCTATTATTATATTCTATAAGTTGTAAATTAGATGAATAAAGATCGTGAGAACTGACAGACTTGCACATGTTTATTTATATCTAGGCCAAGTTTATTAAACTGTAAATCCGACAAAGTGACCTGAATGTGTGGACCATACCGCGGGATTTCTATACCCTCATTTACTTCAAATCTTTCTAACCAAAGTCGAAACTTGTGTCCGTCAGTAGATCTCTCAGTAAGAGTATATACATTTTACAATATTATAAAAAAGTATTTTGAAAAATAATGCACCATCGGCTGCGGAATCTGATGATTCAAACAGGCTGCAGAGACAGGAACCTCCTAAGCGTGCGGTTTCCAAATTAACCGCTTTTTGAATCGGGCCCTTAATCCATCTGTTTAGCGTGATCATCTTGAGATGTTGGTCGAAGCTCTTCGCTTAATTAATCTTATCTTACTAATATTATAAATGTAAAAGTTTAGATGGATGGATGTTCGTTAGAGTTTGTAACCTAAACGGCTTAACGGATGTAGATGACATTCGGCATAGATTTAGAGCAGTCTGGAAGAAAGTATTTTTTTTTATTCCACGCGGACGGAGTCGCGGGCGAAAGCTATTAATAATAGTTTAAAATTTATGTTATTGTTCCAGCCGTGCAGAATGAAAGAGACCGCATCAACTGTCGACGGCCGTCGTACGAGGAGCCCGCGCAGGCTAACGGACTCTCTGTCGTGTCTCTGCTCAACGCTGAACTGCTCAGCAGGAAGGTCATTGATGAGGTACAGAATTCAACCTTATACCCTATGTTATAGGATTTATTTTGGAATAATTAAGTTGTAATGACAATAACCGTAAATATGTATAAACTAGCTATTACCGTGCTACTTCATCCGCATAAAATTATGAAAAATTTATTTTATTTCAATATTTGTCAAATTATCAACCGCAAATGTCAAAATGACATGACGATGTCAAACCATGACAACCTTGCTTCTTTGATGTTGGCAGCAACTTATGGTCTCTTTCCACATTAGGTTTTTATCCAAAATATTTATCCCCTAAGATTAATGGCGTGAAAATATATAGCTTAAAGTGTGACGTAAGTGTAGGGCTTTTTATTCAAAAATTTGCTGTAATTGCTGATACCTTAGGCAACAAAGTGTGTGTTTACGCTTTATTATAATAATAGTATAGAAGTATAGATTTATAGTGAATGATAGGACTTAAAATGCGATGACGATTTTATATCTTTGACAATGAGTTTTAAATATATGTATTACAAAAATTACTCAACATTTTCACAATAACATTGATAATACTAACCTAAACTGATTGTAGTTTATCAAGATATATGCAGCTGTATCAAACTTCATAAAACATTAGAACGCAAAATGTTATGTGAAAAAGGTTATACGAATTTTTAACATAAGCTGATAAGAGCTATCTGTTTCTATTTCACCATTATACAAAACTTTAATACTCTGATTAGCCAATTACGAAATGACTTAACCTTAATCAAATTTTTTATCAGATCCATTTTGTCATACGCTTACTAGTCGTTTAACAAAATGGCGACAAGTTTCATGAACAATTAAACCGTAGCTGTAAACCAGTGTATATCAAACTTAGTTCTTTTACCGCCCCTTTGAAAATCAATGATCTTTCAGTGCCAACCATTTTTATACAATTTTAGTGTAATTTATATAAAATAAATAAAACTACAAATTATGCATCGCCCCCCTAACCCGTATCAACTCAATTTTTTCTGGGTCCCTATAACGCCCCTTTCTAGCCTTCAAACGCCCCCGAGGGGGCGTTATCCCCCACTTTGAGAAATACTGCTTTAAACCAACAATTTTTGAATGATTAAATCATTTACTCCAGCTATTTAAGAACGAGACTTAAAATTCGCTTTAAAAAGTCAGCGAAGCGGATTCTATAATGGCGTTTGGTAAATGTTGACAGACAAACAACGTGACAGACGCGGAGATAAACAATCGAAACCTGGCGAAAATCAATGACGTGTGCGAGTCTATCAAACAACAGCTGCTAATTCTGGTCGAGTGGGCGAAGTACATACCCGCCTTCACCGATTTGCAACTAGACGATCAGGTAACCTTAACAAGAGCAAAAGCCTAGGAGTAGCTTTAAACATAATCTTTAAATGCAAAAAAAAATAAGTAGCCTATGTGTTCTTTCAGTATGCTCTACCTGTATGCCAAATTTCATCGAAATCCGTTAAGTCGTTAACTTTAAAATACATTCATCCATTTATACCTTCGCATTTATAATATTTAAGTAAGAATTGTACCCTTAGCTCGAGTAAGTAGAAGTTAAAAATTATGTTTTAACTATGAAATTTAATTATGAAAAAGAATTTTATAACGGGTTCAGTAGTTTAGTAGCTATAATATTAGCGGTATAAAGATAAACAAATATTAGTACAAATTTTGCTTACACTCTGCTTATTCCTAAGTTTAATTTCATACCGCGTTTATTTGTAAGGCTGTTAGAGTTTATGTGACACAAACATTGAGATATACGAGTGTGTGG